AACATTTGTAAAATTTGTAGAATGTCTTTGTCAAAGTTTAATTTGGAGCACAGGTCTTTTGTTTCTTGTGAGTTGAGGGGATTTTCAGCAATGCTCTTTAACATTTTAGATACACTGACATGTGTTGGTAAGGGGGCTATATTATCCCAGTCGCATGGTGGAAGATCTGTGGGTTGAGTTGTTTGTGGTTCGGTGACTCTCAGATCTTCAATTTGCGTCTCTATCTCCGTCTCCATACAGGTTTTCATCGTTTTCATCTTATTGTAGAAATCGACTACTTTGTGAGGGGGAGGAGGAAAATAAATGTCGTCTCCAGGTATAACCTGCAGCCCTGCCATGGTGCGGCATCTTGACAGGGCAACGTAGGCCTGACCAGGAGCAAAGATCCTCTTCAAACTCACCACAGATTTCTCCACTGTGATGCCCTGTGCCTTATGCACAGTCACAGACCAGCCTAGATCGAGAGGTAGTTGACGTCTGGTGGCCTGGACATGCCCTTCGCGGAGCACTTCGAATACGGTTTCCTTCATAATGACTTTCTGTCCGTCTTCAAACTGAACCAGCGGAAACTTCCCAACAAACTCCAACACCTTGCCTCTCTCTCCATTCACCAGCCCATAACTGTGCATATTCTTTAACAGTATCACTCTTGCTCCGACCTTCAAACTTAATTTTTTTGGAGCTTGGCAGCTGTTTAGCAGCTCCTTCTTTCCGGTGTCTTTCGACATGTAAACTTTCGTTTCTCCATTAACGTTCTCGAGCAATTCACCGTTTTTTATCGCGACATCGTCGCGACGTGAATATATATAGATGCTTTCATCATCTGTGTTTATTGTTCTTTTTAATCTTTGGAGGATAGAGTGCGTTTGCCAGGTTATTTGTCCGGAACGCACCTCGGACAACAGAAGTAAATATTCTGGCTCTTTTTGTCGGAAAACTATTGTCAGTTCAACGTTGTGTTTGATCACCACTTTCCACAGTGGAGATTCGAAGCAGTATAAAGCGTCCTTCTCCTCATCGTTGGGTACAGGCGGGAGTTGATAAAAGTCTCCGAACAACAATAGTTGAATGCCTCCAAAGGGCGCCTCTACGTTTCTCACCTTCCTCGCCACAAATTCAAGCTTCTCGAAGAGTATGGCGTCCAGCATGGACACCTCGTCGATGAAGAGAGTTTTGCAAGTTTTCCATCGTTCGCTGGCTWCAGCATTTGCTACGACTTTGTTTAACAATTCATAGCAAGAGCCACTTCCAAGACCGATTCCGGCAAAAGAATGGAGCGTCGTGCCTTTCACGTTCTTCGCGGCCCGTCCTGTTG